ATACCAGTGATTAAAAGACAAAGCATGAGTAAAATTACACAACACAGAGATGTGCGTTCAGTGAAATCAGCCGGGCAAAACTACAGAGAAAAGAGACACTGAACATAACAAGATGTTCAGAAGAAAGAACCAAACAAGTCCTGCAGTTTGACTGAAGAGTTTATTTGAAGAAAACAATAACACTGGAGTGCAAAATCATAAAAACCATAAACACCTGTTATGCAATTGAGAGCTGGAGGTCGGTTTGTGCTGCTGTGTGTATAAAGCAGGGTTTGGGTGGGATTTCTGGAGAGTTAGTCACAAACAAACACCCACAGGAAAAGCGCACATCCATCAGGACTGCAGCACAAACGCATGAGGCTCTTCATGAAAGATCAGCTCAAACACATGCATGTCTGGAGCCAGAGATGTGTTTCTAATAAAACGCCACTCCACCCACACACACACACACACACATTCATGCTCCATTTGTGTTAGCGGGAAATACACCACCCTACCACGTCACATCTTAAAAACTGAGACAAACTAAAGAGCTGGTTTTCTTAATTATACAGTTTCTCAACAAATGCACTCTCATGAAACTACAAAAAACAAGTCAAGGATGAGAAAAAAAGTCTTGCTAAAATACATAATGCAATATGAAAGAGATCACCGGTGACATACAACAGATATTTTGGACAGTGAAAACAGATTTCATGTCTCGAACCAGAGCACAAACATGGACCGAAGTGATTTTTAAAGATGGTTTAATAGTTCCCAGATCCAGAGAGAACAGAACGAGCTCCACAGTGATGATTTCCAACGTTAACTTCATTTAAACGGTCATCTCACGAAATAAAATACTCACAATACTTCAGAGCAAAACTCCTTCTCAAGCCAGTTCAGACCATTTGTTAACAATAAACTGCAAAAACAACTCTTTCAGAAAGCATCAAGTTAATACTATCACAACCACAAGCTCATTAACATACGACCACCCATATTGACATATTAACTATATGTAAAACTACTGATGAATGACAAGGTGAACTACATCAGTTTGTGGACAGAGAACATTTTTATTCAGAAGTATTGAAGGTACAGTATCATAAACAGCCGGTTTAATTATTTATGATGCATTCGGGTCATTTTTGACGCAGAAGAGGTTCCTAAACATTTCTATAAAAAATTTCTATCAAAATACACATCTACTTTATTAATTGATTGATTGTTTTATAAGAGCTATAACCCTTTTTTTTTTT